CTACCAGACCTCCTATCCGCTGCCCGACCCCCGGCAGTTCCACTGCATCTCCGTGGGTAAGCCAGGCCGCCGCGCGGGGCACAGAGCATAGGTGGCCGCATGAAAGTTGACGAGTCAGAGATGGGGAATGCTGAAACCTAGGCATTATGGGGCGATGAGAGTCGTGTCGGGGCCCTGAGGGGGACACTCAGGGTGGTGTTGGGATGGAGGACTAGAACAGGAAGCCGGAGGGAGGGTGAGAGCAGAAGGCCCGGGCCTTGGAGGGGGGGAGCCCAGGAAGGAGTGAGGACTGGGGCTCAGGGCACTCCATAAAGGAGTACCAGGGCCGAGAGACTGGGGGGGGGCGGGGTCGGGGTCCCATGGCTTGACAAGGAGGGGCCCGCGGGCATGCTGCTGTGCGTTGCGTTAGGGGCAAGAGGTGGGTAATAGACCAAAGTCCTGGGATCCTAAAGACCGCCTAACAAGCTCGGGCTCACAGCGCACGGTCTGATCGCTTCCCTCTCTCACCCCCACTCCCCCAGACAGCAGCTCAAACCAGCTGCCCAGCAGCAAGAGGATGCGCACCGCCTTCACCAGCACGCAGCTGCTGGAGCTGGAGCGCGAGTTCGCCTCTAACATGTACCTGTCCCGCCTGCGCCGCATCGAGATCGCGACCTACCTGAATCTGTCTGAGAAGCAGGTGAAGATCTGGTTTCAGAATCGCCGGGTGAAGCACAAGAAGGAGGGCAAAGGCAGCAACCACCGCGGCGGTGGCGGGAACGCGGGTGCCGGCGGGGGCGCACCGCAAGGCTGCAAGTGCGCGTCACTGTCCTCAGCCAAGTGCTCGGAGGATGACGAAGAATTGCCCATGTCTCCGTCTTCTTCGGGGAAAGACGACCGGGATCTCACGGTCACTCCCTAGACGTGTGACTCCCCAGGTCTCCCACCCCAGGCCCTTCGTAAGCCTCAAAGACGGATCCTCGGACTCCGCGGCCAAATGGCGACCGCGCACGGATTTGGCAACGCTTTGCGGAGGCCCCCGGTCCTGAGAGCTTGGCAGAGACGCTGGTATCCCCATCCCAGGGCCCGTGGCCCTTCACAATGGACTCCAAGCTGTGAACACTGCAAGAGCCCGAGTCCTTCTCAACCACGCGGCATAGGGGCCTCCGCAGGCACGCGGCCCGGCCCAGCGCCTTGCTGGCCTTCAGCACCTCCTCGCCTGCCCTCTCTGAATTGGTTCAGGGCTCCTCGCTTCCTCTACTCTCCCCCACCCTGGGTCAAGCCCAGTCTTTCACCCCTAGGATGTCTGTTCCTTTCCTTCCTTCCTTCCTTCCTTCCTTCCTTCCTTCCTTCCTTCCTTCCTTCCTTCCTTCCTTCCTTTCTTCCTTCCTTCCTTCCTTCCTTCCTTCCTTCCTTCCTTCCTTCCTTCCTTCCTTCCTTCCTTCCTTCCTTCCTTCCTTCCTTCCTTCCTTCCTTCTCTTTCTTTCTTTTTCTCTTTCTTGCTTTTTCTCTCCCTCCCCACCTCCTTCCCGTGGTCGTTTATCCAACCCCCCCACACACACACTTATGAATCCCTGTTTTTTCCTTTTCCTTTCTCTGCCCCTCCTCGAGGGGCCTCGGAGCCTCCAAGTCCAGCCAGCCCCCTTCTCCTTCAGCCAGCCCTGCTGTCCCCCAGCTCCTCTTCCAGAAGAGAAATGTCGCCCTCGATATTCAGGTCGGGGAAAACCGAATTAATTTTGTTGCGGGGGGGGCGCTCTGCCTTCCCCCAGAGGCTCTGGCTCTGCTCCTGTGAAATCCTTCTCTGACCCCAGACCCTGCCCCGCCCGCCCAGGCCTGGCTGTGTGACTGTGCGGTCTCTGTAACACCAGAAGATATTTATTTATTTATTTCTGTAAAAAATTTAAAATAAACTTTTTTTTTCTTAGAAATCCACGAGGCTCCGGATCCCGAGGCCTCCACAGTGGACTGGACGGGCTCTGGCTTGGGTTCGGGTTTCCCCCTGGGGCGAGGCAGGGAGGGGGCGGCAGGTGCGCGCTCTGCTCTGCGTCTCCGCCCGCTCAGCCCGGCGGACACTCCGGCTGGGCTGGCCGCGTGCTCCCTGGTCTCCATCCGGCTCGGGCGGGTCTGGCTCACAGGCACCTCGCGGGCAGAGAGCTGAGCTCCCAGGGAAGGAGCGGTCCCTCCCCGCGTTGTGCCTCAGATCTTAACACCTGCAACCCCCTCCGCCTACGTCCCGTCCAACCCCCCAGCCCTCTGGGTTTGGCTGTCCCGACCTCCACCCCCAGGACAGAGATCATCCGCGGCGGCTCAGGAACCCTGTCCCTCGCAGTGCTCCGACTGCTAACGATTTGTTAGAGACAGTTCCCTGCGGGCTGGCGCGGCCCGCTCTCGGGAAGGCCCCTCGCTTTGCTTTGAGGCAAATTCCTTTCGCGCACCTAGCGGGGGCGCGATTCTGAGAACTCACAGCGATCCTGCGCCTGAATCCCCCAGAAGGGCCCTGTGAGCCGGAGCCTGGCTCGGAACCTCCTCTTCTCCCGGATCCTGTCACCATCCCACAGTCCCCTGCAGCTTAGAGTCCATCCCCTCGCTCTCCTTGCGCAGAGATGTGCGGGTTTTTACGCGTCACCGGGACTAGTAGAAACAGGAGGTGCGGGGTTGGGGGTGCTCCTGAGACAGGAAGCGCTCGGCCTCCCGGGGAGGTGTTTTTGCCGCTGGGTCATTGAATGTGGGAAGCAGCGCGCCTGTGTTCTCACGACGCCCCAGGACTCCCATTCCGAGTCCTGGAGACTGGGCGCTTCTTTTCCTACCAGAAACGCCACCCACCCGCACACACGCCCTGAGGAGTGCGGACTCGGCATCTTTCTCAGGAGAGAGGAGCTCTAGTTTGGGTTTGCTCAACACAAGATGGGTTTATTTCTAAATCCTTCGGTCTCCTTCACATCAACCTAAGTGCGGGGCGCTCTACCCAGTTCCCGGGAATAAAGGTAGGAACCGCCCGGCTCCCCACTGAGAGGTCCCGCCAGGTTCTTCCTAGAGCGAGACGTCTGGGCTGCGCCCCAAACAGATGAGAATCAGTCCCGCCTCCCTGTCGGTACTGTCCCCCCAGCCCCCTCAGTCTGAACCCCAGTCTCGCTGCGGACCAGTAATCCGCCCTCCCGGGAAGGGTTATGCCAACCCCAGGGAAGCCCGGGTGCTTGAAGGCACAGAACCCCAACTAATTTGTACCCGTGACTCTGACCCTCCCTCGGTGTTGTGTCGCCCGCACGCTGCCCCACCAGCCAGCCCTTCGGTGAGTGGCGACCTAAAGTCTCGCATCCTTTAGCTTAAGCGCCACCCACCAACTGGCGGCGGGGCAGCAAGGCTCCCAGGGACCGAGGGCCAGTTCTGAGCCCGCTCTTTCCCTGGATTAGGAGGGCGGTGGCCACAGGCCCCTGGGGCGGGCCTCTCCCGCTGCCCACTGCCCGCTGCGCGCTGCCCGCTGCCGGTGCGGGGACGGACCAGAAAGGCAGTTGGGAGATGGGCCTGCGGGGAAGCTGGGGTGGGGTGTGTCGAGGATGGAGAGATGAAAACGGAACGTGGAGAGATGTGAAGAGGCTGAACCTCCACCGAAAGCATACCCCCTCCCAATTCTTCAGTTTTGCCACCCTATGCAGACACCTGCTCCCAGAAGAAGCCGCAGATCCACGGCTGCGCGCCGTCCACGCGGGTCCAGTTCTCCCAGGAGCGTGCCTCTCGAACTCAGCTTTCTCTACCCAAGTTTTCATCTCCCCATCCCGCTCCCAGACCAGCCTTTTCGCTCCTGGTGGGCTGCCCGGCAAAGTGAGAGAAAACGCAGCCTCCAGCGGTTAACAAGGAGGTGACCAGAGCGCAGCAGTGGGAGCCGAGTGGCTGCTGCGGGCAGGGCTCTCGGCATCCAGCCTTAGCCGGGAGCCGCAGTGACGGGCATTTGAGTCCCAACACGCTTTGGTTCAAACACTCCTGCCCCTGCCCTCTCTCTCTTTGGGCCTTGGGCCGCACCATGGTGCTCCTCCGCTGCCTGGGTGGGTAGGAAGGCAAGGGCGAGCCTGAGCCTGCGTTGATAAGCTACGGGAAATGGAACTTCTCCTGTAGGGAGATGCCAGTCTTTAAGCCCCTGCTCTTTTGAGCTGGAATTTGGGACTTGCAAGGAAAATTGTGAAATTAAAATCAAACTGGGTTATCAGGATTAAATTTCCTGGAAATTATCATTAAGCGTCACAAATCCACCTACAGAGTTTATTCCAGGGATAGTTCTTTCTTTTCTCCATGCAGCATAGTGGCCAGGTTCGGACCCTCGCATCTAAGTGGCTCTTCAGTCCATTTCCACCAGTTACTTACAAGCTTGGGAACCTTGGGCAAGCCGCTGGGCCTTCCTGGGCCTTGGCTTCCCCGTCTGCAAATGGGGGTTGTGTTAATGGTTGCTTTGCAGGGTGGTTGTGCAATATTATAGGATAGATTTCACATAAAATGCTAGGCACAATGCCTGCCAAGTTTCAATAAATGTTAACCAATGTAGTTGTTGCTCTTGTTACTTGTCATGCCTACTCTTGTGCCTGGGGCATAGTTGGTGCTGCATTATGTACTGAATGCTGAAAAGTGATTACTCACACAGGCTTAGAGCAGCATCTACCACAGAGAGGTTAGAGAATACACACAAGTGCCAACATCTTCAGGACCCCCTGGCGTTAGTCACTCAGAGGGTAAGAAATGGCTCCTCTGCTAAGCACTGCTCAGGTGCTGGGAACCACTGAAGTCCAAACATGGGTCCTCTTTCCATCTTCACTTAGACCAGTTCCTCAATCTCCACACTACTGCCATTTGGGGCCCAAAAGTTCTTCTCTGTGGGGGACTGACCTGTGCATTGCAGGGTGTTCAGCAGTTTCCCTGGTCTCCACCCACTAGATGCAAGTATAGCACCCCTCCCCCCAGTTGTGACAACCAAAAATGTCTCCAGACATTAAGGTCCCCTGAGGAGTGGGGGTGGTGGAATCACTTTAGGTTGAGAACTACTGATGTAGACCCATATATTTTCTGCTGAAGTTTGCTAGTCCACAGTGGCCAGGATTTGGTAGCCTGGCTCTTAGATCACTTTTCTACCTTCCCTTCAGTTATCCTTCACTGAGTACTTGTACCTTCTACATCCATGGTACTGGACTATGCACTGAGGTGTGGTGTGAGAGGAGAAAGGGGAACAAGAAAGTGGGGACACTAGGAATAGCAAAGATGCCTGTGTAGTGCCAACATGCTGGTTAGTCTTTACAGCCTTGGGCATTTGGTTTGAAAGAGTGATCAGTTGGAGGCTTGCATATTTGTCTTGTGACCTGTAGACAATTGGGTTCCTTTTTTGAACATGTCCTTGGGTGCCCACAAGACCACCTTTTGTGGGAAAAATATCAGGAGCTTGAGCTGTCATTCCCCACTACTCCCACCACTCAGCCCCCCCCCTCTCTCTCTCTCACACACACACACACACACACACACACTACTAAGCACATCCTTAATGGTTTTTGTCAATGCCTGAAAGTCTGAAACTAGAAATCAATTCTTTTTGCCTAAGGCCTCTCGTGTTTGGTTCAAACATAGGTATCCCTGGGAGTAGTAACCATTGAGCACATTATTCACATTTTCTGAGAGAAGACTTGGAAGGACAAGGGAGTAGAAGATCCCTGAGGACTTAGAAATGTGAAAGAGATACAAGGGCAAGAAATGGAGCAGGGGGAGAGTGAGAGTCCTCAAGTCTCACTGGGATGAATCAGTGTTGCCTTGGGCCATCTGCTGGATCATCTGCTGGTGACTGAGTGTGCTCACTAGATTACTGCAGACTTACTAGAGTGCACTGCAGAATTAGACTCATCCCCAAAGTCAGGAATAAGCTGACCGCATGAGGCAATAACCTCATGAACC